AGAGTAATGATAAATGAGTACTTTATTGCTACCCTTGGCCATATAATCAAAACTTTATAATACAAGAGGGGCTTATGTGACACTTAATCATTTGGCCCCTAAATCATTGGGTACTAGTGAACCAGTAGGATCAACTGTCCTTTACAACAATACTTTAATTAATGTCACTTACGCATCTCATTTTAGTGATCTACTTTGTACCTAACAAGAATTTAGATCTTTTTTGCGCCAAAAAATTAATAGGTTATGTTGTAAAAATCTTGGAATTCCTTTATGGGTCATTAAAATCCTGTTTTACAAAACCTAATAATGTAGATAAGCTAGACGGTTTGTTTTCTCGTATTTTCGTTCATTTATTGTTAATATAATTAAAATAATTTGTCTAAGAACTTTTTTCTTTAAATTTTCATACGGATGATGTTGAAAATTTTCAAAGGCTGTACACTGTAATCGGAGCATGTCTATACTATTCTGGACACTTGTTAAGTTCACATATACGTGATGAAGACTTAGTAGAAATTAATGCGTATTTAAAATTTAACAGTATATTAAGGCTTAGCACTGAAAAGGAGTTGGACAAACTTGTTATGTGGAAGGAAGTTTTTATCAAAGAACATAGAGGTCAGAATAAAAACGACAGAAATGAGAATAAGTAAACTTGAACTTTTTTAATTTTTTTTTTTATGTTGTGTTGTCCAATTCTTTTTTTTTTTAATGTAGAATACCAGATGGGCGTTGGTTTCTTTTGATCGTTGGTAAGGGTCATTTTATATTAGCCACCCTTTGGAAGCAGGTGGATGTACAGAAGATTTAAGAAATTATTGTTAGTTAATTTTTCTGACTCTAATTTTTCCTTTTTTGTTCTTCTATCAGTCAATCTGTATGGATTCATAACAATGTTGCTTGGCATGTTGTTTACAAACATTGCTTATCAAGGAATATTCTTAAACTTTTTTCTCTTCTATCAATATCTTTGTGTATAAATATTAGTGGTTTTCTTTAAATTGTTTGTTTTACAGGCGATAGGTGTAACATCCCCATCTCCATTTTACGTGGAGGAATGTGAAAGCTGTTTGGAACTGCTTTACGAAGTGGGACTGCATAAATATTTGACTACCTGGTTCTCATCAAACACATTACCACAGGTTGAAACAACTCCTGAATACTTGACAAAGTATGGCAGGAAAATGAGGGATTGTAAGTTTGTGATTATCTTTTACCCGCGCCACCGTCCGTTTATTATTAGTTCAATGAAAGTAAGGCAAGGATTGTTATTCTCAGCCATCTCAGTATAAAATAGAAGTCTAAACTTTTTTATTTTCTTTTAGCTCTAAAATCGGACAACTTTAGGAGCACTACACTGAAATTATCTAAATCTCAGCCGGATTTAAAGCGACGACATAACTCGTCTGATCAAATTAACTCAGTAATTAGTTCAAGTGATAATCCTATCAACAACTATCATAGTATGAGTCATCATAGCCTTTACAATCAATGGTATAACGGCTCACAGAAGAATTACAGACATTCAAGTAATTTAGACATCAGTTATTCGGAAGATTCTAATAGCTTGAAGAGCAACAGGTATGTTTGATGAGTATTTTATAGTTGTGTTCTTCGAGACTATGTTGTACATCCGTTCCGGAGATATTTTCTGACAAACATCCAACCATCCATCTAAACTTTCACATAATATTATTATAATAAGAAGAACTCGTAATGAGATATTAAGTGATGTTGCCATCTGCAGCAATATGGCAGTGGAATTGCCAGAAGAAAAAAAGATGTAGATAAGGCAAATAATACAAGAGAAGGGATAAAGCTTTGATTAAATATTATGTGTAAATTTTAATGTTGATGACATTTAATTTTTTGTAGTGAAATAACTGAGGAGCGTGTGACCGGGCGGCGAGCGGACAGAGAACATAAAGGTCGCCGTGACTCCTCTGGATCTGATTCTGACTGGGACAGACAGGTGAGGATGTTTATTAAATCGACAAGGCGAGCAGAGTATAGCAGATTTATAAGATTAAAACATTGCATGTTCTTATTAAGTACGAGTGTAAAAAACTGCCTGGTCTCCGCCCTGGTCTGTGTGAACAAAGCCTTTCATTGTGTACTTAAAATATATAAATAGATTATATTTTAATAAAAGTCTAAGCGTAAAGTCTAGTAGCTTTTTAAGTTTTTTTTTATTTGAGATCGGATTTGTAGTTTTTTTGCCAAAATTGACAATAAAATGTCATCATATATAATTTTCAGGATGGGAGTAGAACTAGCGGGAATATGACTATATTATGAATATATTATATGACAGATATAAGAAAAAGTTTATTTAAACGTTACACGCCGATAGAAAAAAATAAAAATCGTAAAAATACTTTTGGTCGTAATTTGAATTATATATCCTGAATTTTTATTTTGGTTACTTTTTTC